ATATCATGTCAAGAATCCCACCATTTGCAATTAGAGCTGACCAGAGAGCGTTTTCGCATGTGAGAGAGCTCCCATCAAGTCCAAAAGTCGTAAATTAATGAGGAATGACTAAGTAAGTGTAGTCGGTGCCAGGTGAATCGGATTGAGCCTGAACATGGCGACGTAGGGATTAAATGGCAGACATACAATCTATGTCCTTGACGTTGGAACTTTGTTTACTTTACAGAGGCTGTTTTGTGAACAACTGTGGGAGTAGTCTGGGTAGAAACAAGTCGCTGAGTAGGTAATGGGCGAAAATTAAGCCATTCTAACAACAATTTTCTGTTTTTCTTGCCAAGGCTGTTTTGGGAACTGCGGGAGACGTCAGTGTAGAGCCAGGTCAGTGAGTAGGTTGGAAATTAAGCCACTTCAATAACAATATTCTCTGTTTTTCTTGCCGAAGCTGTTTAGGAACGACTGCGGGATACGTCTGGGTAGGGCCAAATCAGTTAGTAGGTAATGGGTGAAAATTAAGCCACTCTAACAATAATTTTCTGTTTTTCTTGCCAAGGCTGTTTTGGGAACGACTGCGAGGAGACGTCCGCGTAGGGCCAAGTCAGTGAGTAGGTAATGGATGAAAATTAAGCCACTTCAATAACAGAATTCTCTTGATAAGATGTTTTTTACTGGCAAAGAAATGACGTTGTTTCGCATAAAAACACGTCATTTATTGCTCAAGCTAAGCGGATCTGGTTGTCCAAACGACCCACGCGTCTGGGAACCGGAGAGGGATGGGTTCAGACGCTTGGATCTGTGTTCATCCTTTGTTTGCTAGGATAGGGAACTCTTTTCGGTTAAAATACCTTCGGTTAGTGGAATCTTGCGAGAAAGCTGCGCCTTTAACTTTTGATCTTAGAAGTGTCCTGATCGATTGTTTTTAATATAAAATGTTTTTTATTATAAAATGTTTTACGATGGCAAGCCAGTGTTCCACTCGGTGTTTAGACCTAGACAAGCTTGATGTCAGCTAATCATCCCGAGGGAATGGGAAGGCTAGGGAGGGTTCAGTTCGAAAAACGGAGCAGGACAAGTGTGTTGAGAAGCCTTCAACCTCTATCTCTTGCTGAAGACATCATAAAGTTGCAAACGTAAGCAACTTTGCCAATTCTTTGCGAAGGAAGGAAGGAGCATAATTGGCGGACAGGCTGCGATACCTTTGGCCGTGGAAGTACCCCACGACAGCTCGAACCATTGGAAAGGTTTTACTTTTCATGAGACCCCTGTTAAAGCTAACACTACAAGGGCTTTTGGGTATTCTGCCTGCGAACTGGTGGGTGTTTAGTGGTCTTTTCTGCCAAGCTGACAGGGTTTTGTTTTTTCTCTTTTGAAGAGGGATATAGAACACGTTAATGCTCCATTTGATGGGTATGTGGACGGATATGGCGTGAAAAATCTTCGCAAGTTCAGCTGAAGATTATCGAACATGCCTGCTAATCGCACGCCTTGCTCGCTTGAGATTGAGATTAAAGTGTTTCATCATTGATCCCTGGCTCATGGTCAGTTGAGAAAAGCGAAAATCTTCCTGGAAAGATTTTTTGAACGTAAGTGAAAATGGAGAGAATGGCATTCGATCAGACGTGTCGCCAGACGTGCACGAGGCTCAAATACTCTGTTCAACTGAATGTCCTTCAGGTGAAAGGTCGAAATCCAAGAGACATTTCTATCGCTTAGAGTAATGGATAGGTATGAGAGGCTTTGCCCTTTGCTTTGAGAAGGGCATGTCACTTTATGTCTATCGAGAGTTAAGTGCTTTATTATGGTGAGACAGCGCACACATGTTAGGTTTCCAGTGCTTTGTCCAGTGTGCAAGCCATATGCCGAAACACTTGTCAAATGGGCGACTAGCACATGGGACATTGGAGGAGAGGAATCCGAGGGAGTCTCTGTCTGGAAAGGGGCACCAGTTCGGCGACGGAGGGGCATTGTGCACTTTCGCTGATTCACTCGTTCCGGTTTACAAGTACCACCCTGGTCAAATGTGTGAACTCTTGTGAAGTTGGAGTAAGCTCGTTGAGATACCATGGTAGACCTGTCAACTCTTGTAAGCGCATGAAATAACTCTCTCAATGGGTTGAAACGTCGATGAGAAGTAGAGAAGAGAAGTGCAAAAAGCCCCCTCCCACTTCCCTGTGGCCGAAATGCCACCGGAAATGTTAGCAGTTCCATTGAAAGCGATTGGAAGCGTGGAGCTTGTGGATATGTTGGTAATTTGACGCTTTGGAA